CAGTCCTAACACCTTCAGCAATAATGGTACTTTCCATAAATCACTGCTATCTGGCCACACATCTAATTTTAGCTGCAAAATTTCCCCTGTATAATATCTTTATATTAAAATCCTTTAAAACTAATAATGGTTCATGAAAAGATGTTAATATGAAAAAACTGTTGGATTTTTTTTTCTATTTTTAGCTCCAGGATGCCTAATAAGGACCAATCAGAGTCATTTAAACCTGTCCGCACAGATCTCTTAAAGTAAGTTTATCAAGTAATTATGACAAACTGTTTCACAGGACAAGATGTTGTGAAGACGTGATGCCAGACAACAGATACAGAAATATCTATCTGTCTGAACAGCTCACAAAAAAACCCTTCCTTATGATAAGCTAAAAACCTCAAACAGAATAAAATACAATAAATTATGTTGTACGCAATTATGTGAAATGATGCAGGACAAATAGCCTATGTGACTTGCTCTTTTCACAACAGCTTTAAATCTGTGGGAAAAATTTTATTAAAAGTTTTTTAAAAAAAAAATAACCCCACGGTTTTTTTTGGACTTTTTTTTAAATGGCCCTACTTGGCAAATTAGGTTACATCACACTTTTTTTTCTGTATCTAAATTGGGCCCAAAACACTTATAATTTTAAAAGCCCAATTTTGGAACAAAAAAACTTGAAAATTATTTTAAATTAAAAATTTAGAGTTAATTTTAAAAAACGTGATTCGTTCATCTAAATAGGTCAGAATCATACATATATTATATATGGTATATACAGATACATGACGTACATATATATGATGCTATAAAACAATAAGTATTACAGTCATACAGATATACAGCCCATCAAGCTATTACTGTAAGAAGTCTTTCCCCGGATCTTTCAGTACTAGTCAAATAAATTAAACAATGAATGGGTGAGATTTCGTATAAAATACAGTCAGTTTATCCTCACAGTCAGTTTATCCTCTGATTTAAAGAACAGATTTGTTCTATGCTGTTTGACCACTGTCTGCATTGTTTGTTACATAGTCTGCAACTATTTTAAAAATTTCCCTAAAATGATAACAGACCTTGTCAAGATTGAAAGATGTTCAAGTCCAGTTAAGATATTTAGTATGCACCAAAACATACAAACTTTTCCAAATTTCAGTACTTTTTTAACTAAAGGGAGACAACTTAATAAAACATAAATTATCATAGTTAACAAATTTCAAATTACTTCTCTTAGTTTATATTAAATCAGTAACTAACATCAATCACAAATGGATAATTGTTCTTTATACATATTTTTGGGGTCCAATTTTTTTTTCTCAAATTTATTGTTGTGTTTTAAAGTCATCAATAAAAACAATAAAGCTTAGAAATTAAAAAAAACACTTATCCCTGGCAAAGCATTTCACTTACATCATCAAAAACTTCATAACATTAATTTTGGGGTAGAGTTTCATTTCATGTCCTGCATATATTATAATTCAAAATGGACTTGATAATTTGAAATTCTTACATTTCAAAATAATATTTTAATAAGCTTATTGGTCAGATTCTTATCCAACTTTGTCGTTGTACAAATCAACCTGATTCTATGCTGGTGGAATGGTTGGTCTGATTCTATACCGGTGTAATGATTGGCCTGGTTAGCTGTCTGTTTAGCTCAATAGGTAGAGCGTTTGAATGTGAAACGGGGGACCCAGTTTCGATAAACAGGACAGTGCATGTCATTTTCATTATGATTTATCATGAAATTTTCTCTATGGTCATTCACATTGTACCTCTGCTTTGGGAAAGTAAAAGAAGTTTTTAGTTCCGTGGCAAAAAATGAAAACCAAAATAGTACTGGGAAAATGTTGAACCCGTCCGCACCCGGATCAATGCGGTGGCTGAACTGTTGGGGTCTGGTTTAATTTAAAATTTGGGTTAATTTCCCCGGGTCCAAAAGTAAAAAAATATCAACTTTGTAAAGGTTTGTCTGGTTCTATTCTCGTTGTGTGAAAATACTCTTACCCATTAAGGTCTTTTTTTAAATAAATCAGAATCACTTGAGTCTTTTGTATTTAGTTACATCGTAATTTGACTAATTGCTTTGACTAAGATGAATTTCAAAGATTTCTTTTACATACATTATAAAAAGTGACTCCAACACTTATTTCCCTTCAAATTGTTTCAACAATCTTGGTAGATAGTGAGTGACCAACCAACCAGATATATGAAAAACCAACTTATCTTTTTTTTTTCAAAGAAAAGTTCCAAAGTTTTCCCAAAATACATACAAGAGGGCCATGATGGCCCTGAGGTCGCTCACCTGTATATAGGCCCCCCACCCCCGGGCCAATTTTTACCCAAGGGCTTTTATTTGTTTATTTGAACAGACTTGGTAGACACCCATAAGAAGATGTTTCATGCTAAACATCTAAGTTCTAGCTCATTGGCTTTTTTAAAAGAAGATTTTTAAAGTTTTAACTATACACATTTAGTTAAAAACAATGACACCCCTGGAGCAGGGCCAGTTTTGACCCCCGGGCGTTTATTTTAACAAACTTTGTAGATATTTACTTAAAGATGTTTCATGCTTAATATCTAAACTCTAGCTATTTGGGTTTTTCCAAAGAAGATTTTTAACTTTTTGCTATACACATATAAGGAAAAAATCAATGACCCCCCCCCCCCCCGGGCGGGGCCAGTTTTGACCCCAGGGCTTTTATTTGAACATACTTGGTAGACACCCATTAGAACATGTTTCATGCTAAATATCTTAGCTCTAGCTCTTTGGGTTCTTTAAAAGAAGATTTTTTAAGTTTTTACTATATGCATATAGGGAAAATCTATGACCCCCTGGGGCGGGGTCAATTTTGACCCCAGGGCTTTTATTTGAACAAACTTGGTAGACATTCACTAGAAGATGTTTCATGCCAACTATCTAAGCTCTAGCTCTTATGGTTCTTTAAAAGAAGATTTTTACTATATGCATATAGGGAAAATCAATGACCCCCGGGGCGGGCCAATTTTGACCCCAGGGCTTTTATTTGAACAAACTTGGTAGACACTCACTAGAAGATGTTTCATGCTTAATATCTTAGCTCTAGCTCTTTGGGTTCTTTAAAAGAAGATTTTTTAAGTTTTTACTATATGCATATAGGGAAAATCAATGACCCCCATGGGCGGGGCCAATTTTGACCCCAGGGCTTTTATTTGAACAAACTTGGTAGACACTAACTAGAAAATGTTTCATGCCAAATATCTAAGCTCTAGCTCTTACGGTTCTTTAAAAGAAGATTTTTTAAGTTTTTACTATATGCATATAGGGAAAATTAATGACCCCCCGGGGCGGGGCCAATTTTGACCCCAGGGCTTTTATTTGAACAAACTTGGTAGACACTCACTAGAAGATGTTTCATGCCCAATATCTTAGCTCTAGCTCTTTGGGTTCTTTAAAAGAAGATTTTTTAAGTTTTTACTATATGCATATAGGGAAAATCAATGCCCCCCTGGGGCGGGGCCAATTTTGACCCCAGGGCTTTTATTTGAACAAACTTGGTAGACACTCACTAGAAGATGTTTCATGCCAAATATCTAAGCTCTAGCTCTTATTGTTTTTTAAAAGAAGATATTTAAAGTTTTTTCTTTTGGTTGCCATGGCAACCAGAGTACTGCATGGAATTAAATTCTTTGAACAATTTTTAAAGGTGACCACCAAAGGAACATTCCTGTGAAGTTTGGATGAAATTGGCTCAGTGGTTTATGAGGAGATGTCATTTAAAGCAAAAGTTTACGGACGGACGGACGGACGCCGGACGAAAAGCGATCACAAAAGCTCACCCTGTCACTTTGTGACAGGTGAGCTAACAAGGGACAAAACTATGCCCTCTAGTTGACAGGCCTAAAAACTAATGAAAATTCATTCAGGCTTAAATTTTCCTTAAAATATGCATATTAAATTTACAAAAGGCCATCACTCAAAAATGCACATTCAGATTTTAATAATATTTGATGAGCTTTATTTCCTTACTACAAAAAAAATCATGCTGAATTACATTACAATCCGGCCATCCCTATTTTAAATATGGCTCAAAATGGTAATTTTCATAAACCACATGGTAGACTTTAATGAAGCTTTGTAATCCATATAAATACTCATGTCAAGTTACAAGAACATTGGAGATCCAGATATACTGACTGACAATGCCATTTCAATACCCTCCCCAAAAATATATAGCGGGAAATAATAATCTGAATACACTGTGAAATAATTTCTTAAAAAACCAACAGAATTGTAGAAGAAGATTTTCTATGTTTTTCCCTATATACATAAAGGCAAAAGAGACAACATTCTCCAAAGGCTATATTTTACATCAAATCACAAAATTCTGAACATTCCTGGGAGATTGTTACCTAATAATGATTTCTGTGAAATATCAGAATCTGACCAACAGTAATGTCAACACCATATTCTATGACTTTCCTTCTGCTTAACATGGCATCTAGAGTTAAGCCTGGCATATAATCTTTTGTATAACTTTAAAACAGAATCACCTTAGGAACATTTTGATAATTGTTGTTATTATTAGCCATAAAGTTTAAAGACAATTGTGGGCAGGCAATTTGGTGATCACAAAAGCTAACCTTGAGCACCTTCATACTGTTTGTGTATCTAAATGAGTGCCAATATTGTTTATAAAGTAAACAAACAGTAATGGTTCCCTATGGCAAAGAAAATACATATTTCTATTCATAGTCATTACAGATTCTAAATGATTGTTAAAAAGAATGATCATGTAGAATTCAGTATATATTAGTGGCCAACATGTGTGTATATATTACGATATATGTCATCTTTCTAGCTTTAATGGTGGACAACAATGCACTTTGCCTTTCAGTATTTTAGACACAGGTAAAACCACCAGTCTTTTACAGGCCAGGAGAGTCTTCTACATTTGCTTAGAATTACTTTCAGGTTAGAGTTTTCTGTTGACTTATTTACAGAGAACAAGCAGAGAAATATATAAAACCTTTGTTTAGATCTTGAAGGCAAATCTCCATTATCTCTACGTGATCTTATTGCGGGTGATCTCTCGCGACGTCGAGGTGGACTGCTACCTCCACTGCTGATATCACTATCACTACCGTACTCTACCATCTCACGATGACGTTTCTCACGTTCACGTCGACGCATCTCCACGGCACGTTGTCGTAACTCCTCTTCCCGATCCTAACAGAAGGACAAAATAGTTTTAAAGAATTCCTTAAGTTTAGCTACAACTTTTACTACTAAATGATAATCAATAATTCTCTAATTATATATATGTAAAATGTTTTTAAGCTTACATTTACCATCATGTTTGACATTAAATCCATCTTGCATGTCTTTAACTGACAACCATAAGGTTGCAGCTATGGGTACATGAAATATTTATTTTACCAATTGTTCATCAAAATTTACTGATACACTGTATTTATGAAAAAGAATTGACCACCTTCCGATTAACTCCAAACAACAAAGTTTCTAGAATCATTCTAAGCAAGCACCAAACTATATGGATATTAAAATCTTGTTTAGATCTATCACTATTATTATTTAATCATATAAAGTTACCATTTTTTCCTGTTCAATCTTCTCAATTCTCATCACCTCTGCCTTCTTGTCTGCCTTGTCTAAATAATGATAAATACATATACCAGAAAATTGTTGAGACACCATGGACCATATCAATAGTAAAACTGTTTTAATAAAGCTGCTCCATATGACTATCTAGAGACAAAACAACTAAGGCCTCTATAATATTACAGATATGCAGGCCTTTGTAAATCCCACTGGAGCCATGGTCTTACTACATATTTCTCGAAATATGAAAACAATAAAACTATTCCCCTTTCAGTAGCAGCCTCTGATGAGAATATTTTTTTTTATATTCAACAACTTCAATTAATTTAGTAATGAACCTAAACAAATATAATATTCTTTTTATCACATATAAGTAAGGTTCACCAGTAAAAGAGGAAAATGACATGCCTAAAGAGTACTGCTAAACTTTGCATGCTTACATGCTATGATTGTATAAAGCATATGATGTGACATTGCATTGTTATTTCAGTGGTGCAAGTTTTTATTTAAATGATGTTTTGTTTTGGGGGTTTTTTTTGGTTGGGTTGTAAGTCAAACACAGTATGATCATATAGCGACTTTCCAGCTTTACTGGTGCCCTTCCTTGCATTATTTCAGGCACTAACGGGCACCTGAGTAGAACCACCAACACTAGGTAAGCCAGCTGGATAGCTTCCTCACATGAAAAACACCAAAGTCCCTGTCTGGATTTATTGAATGGTTAATAACACTCTTTAACTGTGATTTATGTGATAAAATCTAGTATTTAAAATATGGAACCACATGTAAAATGGAAATTATGTAACACTGATAGAACAGAAGAAGGGATAATAAACTTACACTGTTTACTTAGAGCTATCTGCATCTTTTTTTTAAGCCTCTCTTGAGGTGTAAGCTTCACCTGAAAGTGTGAGAAAATGTTTTACCATTGTGATTATTTTCAGGTAACTGCTAAATTACAATAAACTTGTAACCTTTATGGAATGTGTCATAATGAATATCATTCATAACAACATTCATTCACACAATAAAAAAACAAACTGCCAAACTATGTCATCAAATGTCACCAAAAGGGTAGATCTTCATGCAATATAACTATCATTTAAGATATTGGTCCATAAATGAAGGTTCAATAAAAAGAAAACTTATAGCCTTTTCATAGACTCAGTGAATATGACCTTGACCCAATTAAACCCAAGCTAAACCAAAAGGTTTTTTATTTTTATTTGTAATTTAATTTCGTTTATAAATGAAAGTACTGTTGAAAATAAACATAAATGGGATAAAAGGATAAGCTACCAACATTAAAGCTGCATGCCTCCAGATGAGAAAAAAATATTTCAAGAAAGTCAACCTAGAGAAAAATGATTTTTAAGAAAAGTAAAAAGATTGAAGATTCAAGTAATAATTTACATGTTATGTCCAATTAATGAGTGATTTTGCAGTATTTATCAACATACAAGTATTTCTACTATGGTATGTGACTAATACAGTTAGGGCCTTTTTTGCATATTTTGACCTCAGAGTTTATGGTAATTTAATTAGGATTATAAAATCAAGTCATATGAAAAGCTTTAGACTTTCCAAAACCAAGGATAACAAATGAAAATACATCAAAACAGCATTTATAAGCTTTGTTTCTGGATTCCAGTCTGTGCTTGCTGAGAAACAGTTTGGACTAAAGTTACAGCTAAATAACTTTTTATAAAATATCTGAACAACATGCAGTTTTAATTTGAGATAGGATAGTTTTAACTAAGGTATGGTTTATTTCTAATTTAAAACTTATAGAATATCCTGTAATTTGAATGATTTCAATATAACTTTACTAAGGTTGGAAATTTCATCTGATTTGGAGCATGAACTTTGGAATTTCTGATATTTTTCATCAATCATTTTCAGCAAATGACACATTGCTATATAATATTTTAAGACACATGCTGGCAGTCACAAAGAAAATACACTCAAATCTACAAAAGATTTATATCTTATTTCTTTCAAATTTAATAAAATTTCTTTCCTATTCCTCTGTGTTTTCTTAGTTTTCAAATATAGTGTGCCCCAGTGGAGATTCAGCTTAAAATTTTATAATCCATACAAAAAAAGAAAAGGAAATACATTCATATAATACTGGTATTCAATTTGTAAAATCAATTATAATTTATTGTCGCTGAACTTATAATTATATACAAGTATGTGTTGGCAATATTCACTTTCTTCTATTGTGTTACAAATTTATACTATACATCTTTATATAACTTATTGCAAATCAAAGTAGAGGGTTACAAGTTATATCCTACAAAAAATCATTTCGAATATAAACATAAATTGTGTAAAAGTACTTAAAATCAATTTGTGAAACAAGACTGGTCATTGGTCACTTTACATACAGATGAAATGGAAACATCCAATCAGATGCTGTTTTAAGCAAGAGTTTCATTATTTCCTCTCTAGATAAGCATTGACAAAAAACACATAACCATCCCCTGCCAAATGTTTACAAAGCTATTCTTTAAAAAAGTTTGTGTAGAGGAGCAAAATAATTTATTTTTAAAAAGTTCTTTGGTAAAAAAATGATGGATAAAGAGATTATAGATGTGCAGTAGGTAAAAATTACCAACTAGATGAGATTATTAAACAGAAAATGGCTCTGCTGTAATGATTCTTGGTCACTGCACTTGTCCCAGTTGTCATCTATTTCATATTGTTATTTACAAAACCATCTCTTGTTCTGTTAAGGAGTAATACTTAGTACAAAAAAAAATGAAAACAAGAACGTGTTTGTTAAACACAAATGCCCCCGGCTCAGATTCTTGTCAGTAGCAATACTTCATAAATGTTTACCCATTCACTCAGTTATGGGCAGAAAAATCACCAAAAAATTGTAAACACAAGTTTTATAGCTTGACAAAGTCATGGCATTTTGTAATTGTGAAAAATATAAGTTGCCAAGTCATTGCTCTGACTTGTGAAGTTGAAAAATATTCAACTTCATGCAAGTTATCTTCCTACCAAATACGAAATACATCTGTCATTAAATAAAGGCTGTATGGGCAAAAGTGTAAAAATCTATTTTTAGCACTTGTGACCTTCACCAAACTGACCCCTAACTCTATCCAAAAGAAGAATACCATGTAAGTTATCTTCCAACCAAATATGAAATACATCTGTCAATAAATAAAGGCTGTATGGGCAAAAGTGTAAAAATCTATTTTTAGCACTTGTGACCTTGACCCAACTTACCCCTTACTCCATCCAAAGGAAGAATACCATGCAAGTTATCTTCCAACCAAATATGAAATACAACTGTCAATAAATAAAAGCTGTATGGGCAAAAGTGTAAAAATCTATTTTTAGCACAAGTGACCTTGACCCACTGATCCCTACCCCAATCAAAAGGATGAATACCATGCAAGTTATCTTCCTACCAAATATAAAATATATCTGTCACTTAATAAAGGCTGTATGAGCAAATGTGTAAAAATCTATTTTTAGCACTGGTGACCTTGACCCAACTGACCACTAACTCCATCAAAGTTTATGTTTCTATCAATTATAAATAACATCTGTCTATAGAACAAGGTCAATACACCTGTAAAAATGTAAAAATCTATTTTTAACATTGGTGACCTTGACATTGGTAACATTGACCTTGACCCAAATGACCCCATACTACACCCAAAGAAGGAGGTGTTTGTATTAAACTAAGACATCAACTAAAAAATAAAGGCTGTATGAGCAAAAGGTTTATATATTTTTTTTAAACCAGTGACCTTGACCCTAGAGACCGCTTACTCTAAAAAAATTAGAGGACCATCAAAGGTATCCACCTACTAAATATGAAAGATATCAGTAAAGAAATTAAGCAATTAGGAGAAATTTAAGGTAAATCCAACTTGCCGAAATAGGTTAACCAGACAAGGCCCTATTTTCAAAGTGAAAAAAGGGAAATAACTGGGAAATATGGATGACACAGTTATATAACTTGGCAATATCATGTGCTTTGTATTGATAAGTAAGTGTGGAAATTATAAAGCCATTAGTATAGATAGAACTTAAAATATTTCCAACTTGCCGTTTTAGGTTAACCATTATTCATTTTCTAAGTGCTGAAAAGGGCAATAATTTGGTAAATATGAAAGCCAGAGTTATGAAACTTGCCCAGATCGTGTACTTTGTATTGATTAGTAAGTGTGTAAACTTAGAAGCCATTGGTACAGGTAGAACTTAAGAAAAATCCAACTTGCCGTTCTAGGTTAACCTCGTATGGACAGACGGACAGACGGACGGACGGACGGTTCAATCACTATATGCCCGGGGGCATAAAAAAGTACATAAAGAGAGATAATTCAAAAACAGGAACATATATATAATTTTCCGCTTGTGCATTTATATCTCAAATTTACAATGTTATATTCCTTGTGTAGTCTAACAGTTTCTGCTGTAAATACATTTTATTGACTTGTACACATTTCAATATGGAAATTAACATTTTATTAACCTAAAATAAATTTAGACTGAACAGCAAACAGTGCAGACTATGATGCACTGTTTGTATGGGTAGATTCAGTTGCCACAACAGGGTAACACACAACCTACTTATCTACATGCTTTATTAGTCTAATTACACATATGTAACAAAATACTATTGTAATAGCCATCATACTAATTTGTTTCTAGAAATATAGATAAATCTACTTCAGGGGCTAGTTGAGGATTTTTTTAACCATAGGGCAACACAAAATTTCATCAACTCCAGAGGGGTGTTGACATTTTACTTGTATTCCTTCATGAGTAATTTTGCTGCATTTTTCTATGTTACTATAAAAACCTTAATGGAATATTATGTTTTTATGCATTGCATACCTAGCCAAATTTCCAATGGAAGGTCATTACCCCCTTAAAACCCCACCACCCAATACTCTCTGAAACGGGGTACATGCATTATGGATGAGGTAAGTTCGAATCCCAAACATGGAAATATGAAATAAATGAAGCCACAACCTAGTCTTACTGTTACACATGAAATGTTAAAGAATGCACACTACATACACACTGATATTTGATCTAGATTTACACTTACAATAAAAGAAATTTTTTTCATTTTCATAGAAATTTAACCATATTTGAACATTCCAAACGGAAGATAAAGAAATTTTAGTAACCTCCGAAGAAGTTTCTTTATGTACCTACAGTAAAGGATTACCTATATAAAATAAATAATTTTGTTATCAGTATTATAATGTAGAAATCATAGAAAGTTCCTATTAAAATGCTGGATTATGAATCAATAATTGAAATATTTTTAACAATATACAAATATGTTTATTCCATATAAAAAATACTCTTTAAATTAATGTCTAACTTATTTTAAAATTGTTATATTCTTACTGACTTGAGATATGCTGGAGGGTTTACCATACGGCACTAAAGACTTGGCACTCCTGAAATGTAAAAACAATAGTTTAAAGGAAGTAAACTCAATATTAAATTTTGTAAGATCAAAATATAGATGTAATATTTTCACAAGTGGCATAGCCAAACATAGTAGGTGTTTACAAGTGATATATAAGTTGATGTTACATATGTTACATAATAAACATATTTTCTGTTTATTTCATGCTTATTTAGTGGTTCTAAGCTAGTTTTACTGATTTTTGCCATGACATAGCATGTTCTCACATTCATGATGTCAATTCATCACAACATGGTGTTCTTTTTAAAAAAAATAAGTCTAACATTTTATAAAATTTGTTGCATTTTTAACAGGATATGTGCAGATTGTCAATTGCTTCTAGTAATCAGGCAAATGTTACTTTTGACAGAGTGTATTTCTGGCAAAAGTTCTTCATAACTATATCACTTTATTTTTATCTACATTCAAAAAAAGTCCATCTTCTGTGAAAATTATATTTTAATAATTTCACTGTGAAATTATTAAAATATAATTTCACTGTTTACTGAAAAGCATGTTGTATTTCAGATCTACCTTGATAATGGTCAGGAGATACCTAAACACATTCAGTTTATTTTTCTTCCCTTTTTTTTTCTTCCTTTTCTATGGTTGGGTCACACCAAAACATTTTGGTGTAATAGGAACTTTCAAGAATACTTGTATAAAAGTGGATGAAGAGCTAAGATATCTCTGGGTACTTTATTTCAAGAGCAAGTGGGTTTGTAGTTTGTATCATATTCCAGAAGAAAATAGAGAAATCTTGTAGACCAACTGACTTTCCACGACCATCCTTACTCGATAGTATCAAAGTCAAAAAAGTGAAAAGCAAGTTAATTGGTCAAAGAAAAAGGCACAATGAAAGGTTGATAATGACCAATTGTTCTACAAATCATTATCTACAAGTTCAGTATTTGTATTTGAATGTTGTTAAGTAAAGTTTCTTACGTGGCTCCAGGTACACCAGACTTTTGTCTAGAGCTTGGTGTATTTGTTGATGATTTCCTTGGTGGTGATTTATCCGAGTCTGAGGAACTGTTTGAGGACAAGGATTCCCGTCTGTACCGTTTAACCACTGGCTTAGTCGGTGACCTGCAGCAATAAAATATCACCATTTATATCTTTCTACATTCAATGAATTGTTTATATTTTGTTTCTAGCTGAATCTAATTCAAAAAGTATTATCAATATAACCCAAATTCAAATATTAACAATTTAACAAAGATTTACCTGCTTTAATGAACTTTAAAAAAAGGATGTTTGTGAAAGAAGGACAAGAACAGCATGTAAGGCAGTCCACTCTTACTATTGTCAGTGCTGGACAGTAAGAAAAGGGGCATTACTTTGTAACTCAGAGTTATGGGACCAGTGCTTATCATGTAAATTAATCACAAAGAACATGTGCATGAAGTTTCAATATGAGTACAATAGCCCTCCTTATTCTTCAGATAGTCAACCTAGAAAGTAGGGAAAAAAGTAGCCCAATGATGTCTGAATTTGATCTGTCCTGACACGACACTATTATAATAAGGAATCATGGGTAGTCCCAATTACCTCTTCTCTTTACATCCTTAATGAACTGTTTTCTGCCAGCATTTGCAGTCTTTTAAGATTATGACAAGATTCTTACAAGCGTGTAACGTGAGTTGCTTTGAAAACTGTTATATATTTACATGCATTTATTTTATTTCCACCTGATTCTATCAATGTCGCGCTGTTGGGAACAAAAATCTATATATAGTGAAATGAAGATAAAATTAAACAATAGTTAATGTTAGATTATAATGAAATTGGCTTGGACACTATTGGAAACCTTAGTTTGACACCTGAAAGTTTTGTATGATTAGGTCATTGACCCTTGTATTTGAAAGTCTACCAATATAGTGAATATACCGCAGTAAAAGTGTAGTATAAGTGTATACATATGTACATTATATCTAGTTACTTAACAAATAGGAAAGCCACATACTATTGGTTAACCATAATACTAAGTACATTACGCTCTGTACTTTACAAATATATTTAAAGTAATAATAAATTTCTGGAGGGATCTTAAATGAAAAAAAAACAAGAGCCACCGCCGGGCGGGGGCAACGCTCGACTTTTTACTTTTTCTAAACGCAAACATAGAAAGGTTTGAACATATCCTTTTTATAAATTTAGTTGGTCTGTCTTGTCACATTAGTTTTGTTTATATATTTTGTATATATATATATGAATAGAAACATTACGCAATTTCTAAAAATAGCAACATTACGCAATTTCTAAAAATAGCAACATTATGCAATTTCTAAAAATAGAAACAATGATGCAATTTCTAAAAATAGAAACAATGACGCAATTTCTAAAAATAGCAACTATGACGCAATTTCTAAAAATAGAAACAATGACACAATTTCTAAAAATAGCAACAATGACGCAATTTCTAAAAATAGAAACAATGACGCAATTTCTAAAAATAGCAACAATGACGCAATTTCTAAAAATAGAAATCAATGACGCAATTCTTGTTGTTGTTGTTGTTAAATATATATATACACACACACACACACACCAATAAATATATAATTATGGTCATTTAATGCACAAATCTGAGAAAATTCAGTAATTTAACCTTCAAGGTCAAGGTCATTAAAGAACCCAAGCAAATTTGGGTTTGATAAACAACAAGGTCTGGTCCTTAAGGAATGTTCTGTTATAATATGAAGTTGATCCCTTCAATAATAGCAAAGTTACAGTCAGTTACCGCCAAAACAATGAAAATTTCAATAATTTGACCTTCAAAGACAATGTCATTAATGAGTGAAGGTCAAGGTCTTTCGGTATATTTTTAACAGTTATCTTTGAAGATTATTATGTTCAAGTTTCAAGACAATCCATTCAAAAAATAACAAAGTTACAGCCAATAATAGCCCAAAAAATGAAAATTTCAATAATTTGACCTTCAAAGTCAAGGTCATTTATGAGTGAAGGTCAAGGTCTGTCTAGTTATGTTTAAGGGATATCCCTGAAGATAATTATGTTCAAGTTTGAAGACAATCCATTCAAAAATAACAAGTTACAGCCAATAATAGCCAAAAAAAATGAAAACTTCAATAATTTGACCTTCAAAGTCAAGGTCAGTTTATGAGTGAAGGTCAAGGTCTGGCGGGTTATTTTTTAAGGATATCCTTGAAGATTATTATGTTCAAGTTTGAAGACAATCCATTTCAAAAATAACAAAGTTACAGCCAATAACAGCATGAACAAGCAAAAATTGGACTTTTAACCTTGAAGGTCAAGGTCATTTATGGATGAAGGTCAAGGTTTAGTGTGGTCTACTGAAAGGTCTTGTCCCAAGGGTTGTTGTGGCCAAGTATGAAGACAATACACCAAGAAATAAAAAAGTTATGATCCAGGTACAAGTTTGCGGACGGGAACGGCAACGGCAACCTGACTATAACAATACCTCTACTTTTTATTTCAAAAAAAAAAAAAGTCGAGCTAAAAATGCTGTCCCATAAAAATGGTTTCAATAAGTTTGTGGTAAATGCTGTTTAACAAGATTGGAAAGTTTGAATGGTAAACAAAATATAAAAGATGTACAACTGTATAACATTGAAAATATCTGTATGTATAACTAGACTAAATTCTCAATATAACAGTATATCTCTATATAACACTGTATAACACTGTATAGCCTCTTTCGGCGACATAAGCTACGTTAAACCAAAACAAACAAACCAAACCAATACATTAACATCAAATCCTCATTTCTTTAAGGGCAAGCTATACCCATCTTTTATGAATTATATATTCATCAGCTGATATTTTGTGCAATAGTGATATGATCCTTAGATAGACTAGATTTTGTACAAACATTTGTTAATCATACATTAATCTACATGCATTATACTTTCTATTTCAATATTAATGCTGTCACTGGTTATATATACCCTTACCAAAATGACTTAAAGTGACTTATATGTTTCTTATATGCAACTTATACTTGAACTATAAGAGAACTATAAGTTACATATAATTCACTTATAAATCACCTAAAAACCTGTCTAAGTCAGTTATAGGTATATGCTACATATAAGTCACTTTTAGCCATTTTTTCCCCAACATATAAGTCACATATAAGTCATCTATAAGTGCCTTACACTGGTCGAGTTTGAGGCAACAAGTTTCTTTGTTATATCAGACTTCCCGAAATACGTCGGTCCGACGGACATGTCCGATAAATTTTAATCATGTCCGACGATTTTTTATTCCGGATCGGTCCGAATGTCCGGCTTTTATCCAAGCAGCATGTATACAAAATGGCGTCGCTTAAGCTGCCAAACCTGGGAAAAACGAAAATCTTCGTCAGAGGAGCGCGCAGAACAGCAATAAAAGGATGAAAAGAATAGACCTGAGACAAAATTTAATGAAAAATGGAAGGAGGACCATGAATCGTTGGTGTATAACAGGGAGGAGATGAAAATGCACTGTACGGAATGTGCCGATTTTTACGGCGAAAAAATTAAAAAGAAAAAGTGTCTTAGAATACAAACACAAGTTTTTCTTTGATTTTGATCAATTTTATTTGGTCTGACAGATTTCGTTTCGGTCCGACAGATTTTCATGGTTTGTCAGACCGAATGTCTGACAGTTTTTTTTAACTTTCGGGAAGTCTGTATATATAAGTGAAAACTTAGAACTTTTGCGAGACCTTTTATAACTGAGCAAAGCTGAAAAATTACTAAGTACAAAAACATGAGAAAAATTGATAAAATTTATTGAAGTTGATTTGTTATTCTTTCCTTTAACACAATGGGTATCAAAATACTCAGAATTTAAAATACTATAATCTTAGACCTTAACCACAAACAATTAAGATTTTTTTTTTAATGTTGCTTATTAATTTTTGAACACAGCTGGTTTTTTAAAAAAGATAATAGGAAAAGTGATCATCAATTAGGTATATTACCTGTACAAAATTTTGGCACAAATTCATGTGAATAATGTTCTTTAGTTACTTATATAGTTCATTGTAATAACATAATCATGCTCTTCTCATTGTAATAAATGTCACCGCCTTGCATGTTATATATGTGGGTAAAGAACATTTAAATATGTTCATATGCTCAATAAAATATTGAATTGAATTTAATTGATTATACCTAACCTGCCAGAGGTTTTTCATTACAATATATCATAAGATCACATGACATCAAAACTACATGTATGTCTACTACTATTTTAAGTAAAATCTTGAGGTCATCTAACAGGAAATAAGGTTGTAACATTCAATTAAGTAGACAGATTCCTACAAAATAAGAAAAAAAATGTTAATGTTGATGTTCTGACAAAGCAGACTCTATGTTGTTGTTTTTTTTTTTTTCGGAATGACTCTACAGATACATTTACATATCAAGACTAAATGGGCACTAGTATTTCCCTGACAAAGGTTATAGAAAGACATTAATAGACATGACAGGGTTCTAGCCACGCATATTGCAAAATTTCTTTCCTGGGTAAGCAGCTCAGAATGCTGACATCTTATAGGAAAGGGGAGTCAAAGTTAGTAAGTAGCTAAATAAATATCTTGTCAAGTGTTGTAACAGGGATACCCTGGTCAGCTGACCCTGGTAGCATGTAATATAAGGTTGATATAGAATGGCCTCTTTGGAACATACACGTCTAATATAGTAAGTATTTGACCTTATGAGTTTAAAAAAAATAAAATAACTGAAAAAGTTGTCATGAGACCAAGACATATTGAGCTTTACACAATTTCTTTTAAACTCAGAGGTTGCTTATGCATAGTATTTTAGGAATATCGTTCTTAGATCAAAGTTTGGGTATTAAAATATTTTGACAAACTTGTCCTTAATTACTCACTTTTCCTTGTTATTCCTGTTATAAAGTATTCACCTTATGAAAAAGTTAAGATTTTTTCCCAATCAATATATTCAAATTAAAGTACATCCTTAATTGCATGCAGTTTCATACATAACAAATAGACGGTCAGATAACAGATAAGGGCAAATCTGAATGCCCCCACTAGAATGAGGGCATAAAACGTGCATAATCAATCATTTCTATGAAATATTTTTCATTTAGCAATTTCAGTTACTGTAATATAATGTTTCCTTGTCTGCTATCAAGCATCACATCTCCAATGAATCTCAAATTGCTTTCTATTGATAATTTTTGTGTTGGACTTGGTAAATCTTACAAAAACAGAAGATTTTCTTTCAAAATTATACCAATTATATCCTTGGCTTTGAATGGGACATATTCAACAAAAGTGATAGGTTCTGTCTGCTATCTTTACCATTTAATAACTAACCTTGATTTTGATCTTGAGTTTCTTGAAGATTTTGAACTGGATCTAGATGAGGATGATGATGGTCGTCTGCTTCTAGATTTTGACCTTGACCTCCCTCTGCTATATTGTCTATAAGAAGGCTTTCTTTCATTTGATCTAGATCTTCTGCTTCTAGACCTTGATCTATAACCTCTTGACCTTTCCGATGACCTTCTACCTCTAGAACGACCTGATGACCTTCTGTCTCTTGACCTCTGCCATCTTTCATGTGACACTGATCTCTGACTTCTATCCCTGGATCTTCTGCTTCTAGAGTACCTGTCCCTTGATCTTGACCTTGATCTACGACCTCTTGATCTAGATCTTGATCTCCTTGACCTATATTTTCGATCATTTGACCTTGACCGCGACCGTCGTTTACTATATTCTATGTCCCTGCTTCTTGGAGAAGAATCTGGACTTAAAGATTTTCCTAGTCTTTTGCGTATAGATTCCTTTTTTGACTTGCTTTCCCTGTAAAAAATAAAATATAAAAATTCTTTTTAAAAAACACAAAAACTGAGATACTTATTGTGCTTTAGAACTATTAATCATGCACTCAAATTTGACCTATCAAAATTGAAAAAAATATTCACTGTCAGAAATATAAAAAAAGACATTAGCACTACAGTGTTACGCTCGTCTGTTAAGGGCAACAACTATCAAGAACTAATTTGACAAAAGAAAATATTAAATTATATTAAAAAGAGGCATGACAACAAGGACGTAGCGATCATAATAGCTCGACTTTTTCACCAAAACAGCCAAGCTAAAAACTGCCATAATGATATACAGAAGAATATGCCATTCTCTAAAAATTGTTGTAAAACATCTTGTTTCTTTTAACAACATAACAACTTAAACAATATACACTCCTTCTTACCCATCCTGTTTCTAGTCTTGTTTCAATCACATACTTGAAATTAGTGTCAGTTGAAATACATTTTTGCATTAATTTTCGGTTCGGTTTTTATTAAGGTCTCAAATGCAATCTGTTTTGATGAATTTTCCATGGTCACAAGTCAAACTTTTTAAAACAATCTAGTATTTCATTTTATCAAAACAAACTCTCCTTTATAAATCAAGCACTCCCTTTTAATCAAGTGCTCCCTAAAACATTAATCACTATTTAAATCAAACACTCCCATGGATGATGGACAGTAATAAGAGCAGTGACACCGACCATGAGGCTGAAGGTTTCTGGTTTGTACTTTCTGTTTCAGGGGCTCCTCCAAACCCTGGGGGCAGTGCAGGGCCTTGCACCACACCATCTCCATCATCATCACTCTCATTGTCCCCAAAACTTGTTATGTACATTTTGCGACGTCTACGTGGTGGGCTTGGGGAACGTGATTTAGATCTTGATGTTGATCTGTAAAAAATAAATATTTATGCACTGTCAGAATATTGAACAATCTTAATCTCTCACCAGAGGATATGATCTACACGGACAAGATTTAATTACCTGGGCATTCTTATCAATTCAGTTTTATCAAAATCATCCGAGGAGTAAAGAAGATGTCATTTAAGTCTTATTTCTGTATTAAGCAACTGAAACCATTTTAGCAAATTTTGTAAAGGGCCACCTAAAGATAATTCATGTTGAGGTTCATTAATTTATCTGAAGTATGGATAAAGAGCAGATGTCACTAAAGGCTTATATCTATTTTAAGACATGTTTTAACCAATTATTTCCAGCATTCCTGAGGACTCATTCTCGCAAACTTATTTTCACACTTCATTTCTATGTGCGAATAAAGTGACTATTCTTTTGGTAACATTACTCTTGCCAGCCTCCTCTTCTCTAGGTAGACTTATAGTACATGTATGTCTTTAAACCATATATTGAATTACAGAGATGACATATTAAAGGTTCAATAATAAACTTCTTTCTTAATGAACTTACATATGGATATCAGCTGCTATCACTTTATTATTGTAAACAAAACAAAGATATATTAAAAATTAAGACACACTGGTAAAACCTCAAAATAACAACATTTTGAATAAGGAAAACTATAATCAGTCTCACAGACATACCTTCTATATGGCTCATATTTGGGACTATCTCTGGCTGCATAGCTGAAACAGAAGCATACAATCAGTATTCATTGTGATAAATGTTATTAAAGGCCCATTATGCCTAAGAAATACTTTAAATTTTTATTTCTCAAAAACCTTGTTATTTTGGAGTACTTCTATAGACCCTTTCATTTAAGCGATAACAGTCGGTGAAGAGTTACTTCCCTTACCGGATGTGACGTAAATGGGGGATAAAACTATGCATGCCGCATAGAAAGTTAGCTTATTGAAAAGTTACATGCTTAAATACTGATCGATTAATTATGATTATAACATGTAAAAATTTATGCATGCATACATAAATTCAATATCAAGACAATAGAAAAAAATACAAAATCAAAGATTGAGAATAATTCTCGCTACGGAGTGATACAGCGAAATTTCAAAGTGAATATATTTATTAGATCTAGATTGTCTCTACTGTAATGCCAGAATGAAAAGCTAGTAACTAAATCAAATTTCAATATTTTATAAACACCCATACACACTGAATTGCCTATTATAAATGCATATGACTATTTTCTAGTTTTCTGTGTTATTTTCTGTCATTTAGAAAATTCCGGCGTATTTGTGACAAACCTGAAAATAAGATTGCCAATGTCTTTTAATGATTGTTTTTCAAGCTTTAATAGAACAATAACTGAATGCATTCTGTCAATACATACTGATACTATTTCAATATGCCGTATAAAAATATTTCAAAGAACCAGTGAAGGATATAATTTTTTTAATATTCCGGAAAGAACGAAAACCATGTGGCATTGACTTTTATAATTTTAGATTCGCAACAGACGATAATAAGATAATTTTGATATTAAAAATCTATTCTTATGGTTATAAAAACAAGCAATTATCATAGTATTGCAAGCAATCCATAAGTCCCCTACCGGTTAGAACCCCATCAACATTCTGAAGGGCCATTGGCCATTCACTAATGTTTCAATTTTTCTATATTTTAAGTAAATTTGTAGGAAAAGTTCTTTAAAAGTGTTCACAGGAAACAGTTTTTATGAACAGACAGACAGACAGACGGACTGAAGGACACTCTAAAGTTAATATTTGAAACATCCCTGTTACCAAAATATAACATTTTTAAAAGCAAAATTCTTAAAGAGGAGATAACTCTTGAATTAAAGATGCAATTTCATAAAAAAATTTCAGCTCTTTTTTACTTATCACAAATAATGTTATATTTGCCAACCAATATTTTTTCAAAATAGGGAGAACAGATAAGACATGCATAATCTCAAGACTGCCATCTACCCATATGTCAAGTTTCATAAAAATATTTCCAGTACTTTTTGAGTTATCACTGGATTCAGTGTATGTGTAAAATTTGCCATATTTTCAGTCTATGTGTTGCCATAGCAACCAGAATTTTCAACATAGGAAGAAAAGAAAAAGACGTGCATAATCTCCAGACTGCCATCTACCCATATTACAAGTTTCATAAAAATATTTCTATTACTTTTTGCATTAACACAGGATCCAGTATATGTGTGAAATTTGCCATATTTTCAGTCTATTTGTTGCCATAGCAACCAGAATTTTCAACATAGGAAGAAAAGAAAAAGACGTGCATAATCTTCAGACTGCCATCTACCTATATTTTAAGTTTCATAAAAATATTTCCAGTACTTTTTGCATTATCACTGGATCCAGTTTATGTGTAAAATTTGCCATATTTTAAGCCTATTTGTTGCCATAGCAACCAGAATTTTCAACATAGGAAGAAAAGAAAAAGACGTGCATAATCTCCAGACTGCCATCTACCCATATTTCAAGTTTCATAAAAATATTTCCAGTACTTTTTGCGTTATCACTGGATCCAGTTTATGTGTAAAATTTGCCATATTTTAAGCCTATTTGTTGCCATAGCAACCAGAATTTTCAACATAGGAAGAAAAGAAAAAGACGTGCATAATCTCCATACTGCCATCTATCCATATATCAAGTTTCATAAAAATATTTTCAGTACTTTTCAAGTTATCGCGGGATCCAGTTTTGTGGACGGACGGACTGACGGACTGACAGACAGACAGACGGACTGACAGACGGACAGACAGACAGACGGACGGAGGGTAAACCTAAAGTCCCCTCCGGTAAACCGGTAGGGGACTAATAAAGACATTTTCCCAGTTACTTATATAAGCGCCACTGGGCCGTAACATATTAATTAACAGGGTGCATATGTTGTATATACAAGCGGCATTTGGCTGTGATATCATAAATCACCAGGGTGCATTTTTTAAAGTTATAACATTACATCAGATTACGTCACTTTTGTTAGTTGTCAAAATATTTATGGTCCGAATTTCGTTATGGATCATCCTAGGGACTTAATTGGTCATGCCTTACTGATTTGTTGCTCGATCCAGAGTCCTACCAACTGGCACAGTCAAAAATACGTAAAATTATAATTCAGTTAATAACGAATTTCTGTGAACGTGTTTCATAACTTGTCTTTGGTTTTTTTTGTGATTTTTTAAAATATATTTGATAAGCAGAGTATGAATTAAAAAGTATCATGTTGAAAATATTACTTTACCAGCTTAAATATATTGGTGTGATGTACGATTTTTTGAGAGTGCATTTTTTGCCGACACAAATAGTATACAGTCATGTACATTCAAAAGAATTTTTACTTTTTATGCCTTTACATTTTTTTTTGAAATTACATAGATTTATATTGTTGTTTTTCTTTGTCTTAGTAATGCTTAAATCAAATTTGATTTTTAATAAACCAGTATCTTGCAATTAATTATTATGCAGCCGTTTTTCGAAACTTCAGAATCCTTACATTTTTTAAACTCAAAGTGTCTTTTGGCTACTTATATTAGCAGAGACATAGATACATAATCTATATCTCTGGTATTACCAAATGTGTACGATTTAACTGCCTGGTAAAATTTTCATTATTAAGAATCTTACGAAAATGGTTATCATGATCAGTTACCCAGCAATATGGTCTACTATTAAAACAAATCGTTAACCATATTAATTATAGTAACCATTTTTATTCATTTCACCATCTTTTTTTGTAATATCTTATTATATTTTATTTGATTAAACAAAATTTTGGCAATTTAAATATGCCAATCTTACAAGAGAAAGGATTAAGATCTTTATATCCCTCTATTAATTGTACTTAATCGTAATGGCATTGTCCACCGTATCCCCCAATGACGTCATCCAAGGGCGACAACTTGAATACGGTCTTAAATGAAAGGGTCTACAGTATCCTAAATGTTACTCATTAGGCAATAAGCTGGATCAACATTTTCATCTGTTGCTTTTTGGCAATAAGTTTAGTATTTTGTATGAAAGTCAAACACTTCTTTGTTATCATTTTGCTACTTTTATGATTTATCATTACTTTCATCAGGTTTAAAGCATCTAACATTCTCTAAAACCATCAATTATTAAATTTGTGATTGCCCCTTTTTAAAGAAGTAAAATATATCTGTTTTTTAGGCATAATGTGCCTTTAACAGTAAAATATATAAAGGATGCATATTTCAATCAGTACTAAACAAACCTTGGGTAATCACATTCAGCATGAAACTATTATAATAATGCAAATAAATTACAAGTGTAGAATAATACAATTAACAATTGAAGAAACTTGGACACATTTCATATTTCAATATCATAATAATTATTGTTTAGTAAAGTTGCACATTTAAAGCATTAACATATTTTGAGTACAAAAAGCACTCTTTCAAGGTAATAAAGTCATGACAATTATGTATATAATTTTAATTATACTGGTTGGAGAGATAACTCCAACGCATAGATAACCCCGACACTTGGTTTAATTTTTTTATCTATCCTTTTTTGTCAACAAACAAGCACATAGTCACCTTGGTATAAAGGAGAAGGACACATTGTGATGAGATTTTTAAATTTGGTAAACTTTAAAATGTGTTTATGTTGACCGAAATTTTTGTCACAAAAACTTCCACAAAACTTTCTTTTTACTTAACTTCCAGACGGTAGTTAGAATTGTCTTGAACACAGGCTACTGACTTGGGGAAATGTCTTTAAAAATTGTTAAATTATCAATAAGGCAAAAATAAAACATAAAATGTAAAAACAAATGGTTGATTCTAATTTTCAAGCTAGTTTTTACTTTAAAATTAAAGTGTTGTCTTTATCTACTGTCCAGTATTAAAAAGACCATGTTTCTGATACCTTATTCAGGATCTTAAGGAAGTACCAGTTTCCATTTCAATAAAGGAAATTTGCAAATGATTATAAATGTTTGAGCCAAACTTTGTTTAGATGGGTAAAAATTTAAAATATACACAAAAATAAAAAAGTTATTGAAAACAAATAGTGATTTAGTGTCAGAGTTATCTCTCCAACCAGTACCTTTGAGAAATATTGATGAAATAAAATGCATATTTTTTTTTTACTTTTCCGTATTTTCACTGTAAAATTTATTTTACACTGCAGTGAAGCATATTTTCTGTAGTTTCACTTGTGTCTTGCTACACTACTTTTTTCTGCATTCAGCCACAACACAAAATTTAGGCGGAAGCCTTTCAAATTGTAATGTCAAACAAGAGGGCCATGATGGCCCTGAGGTCGCTCACCTGTATATAGGCCCCTGGAGCGGGGCCAGTTTAAACCCCAGGGCTTTTATTTGAACAAACTTGGAAGACACCCATTAGAAGATGTTTCATGATGTTAAGTTTTTACTACACACATATAATGAAAAACAATGACCTCCGCCCCTCCCCCCCCCCCCTTTGGCAGGGCCAATTTAAACCCAAGGGCTTTTATTTGGAAAAACTTGGTAGACACCAACAAAAAGATGTTTCCTGCTTAAAATCTAACCTCTAGCTCATTGGGTTTTTTAAAAGAAGATTTTTTAAGTTTTTACTATGCACATATAGTTAAAAACAATGACACCTCTGGGGCAGGGCCAGTTTTAACCCCAGGGCTTTTATTTGAACAAACTTTGTAGACACTTATTAGAAGATGTTTCATGCTTAATATCTAAACTCTAGCTATTTGGGTTTTTTCAAAGAAGATTTTTAAGTTTTTGCCATACACATATAAGGAAAATCAATGACCCCCGGGGCGGGGCCAATTTTGACCCCAGGGGTTTTATTTGAACAAACTTTGTAGACACCCACTAGAACATGTTTCATGCTAAATATCTTAGCTCTAGCTCTTTGGGTTCTTTAAAAGAAGATTTTTTAAGTTTTTACTATATGCATATAGGGTAAATCAATGACCCCCTGGGGCGGGGCCAATTTTGACCCCAGGGCTTTTATTTGAATAAACTTGGTAGACACTCACTAGAAGATGTTTCATGCTTAATATCTCAACTCTAGCTATTTGGGTTTTTTCAAAGAAGATTTTTTAAGTTTTTGCTATACACATATAAGGAAAATCAATGACCCCCGGGGCGGGGCCAATTTTGACCCCAGGGCTTTTATTTGAACAAACTTTGTAGACACCCATTAGAACATGTTTCATGCTAAATATCTTAGCTCTAGCTCTTTGGGTTCTTTAAAAGAAGATTTTTTAAGTTTTTACTATATGCATATAGGGAAAATAAATGACCCCCTGGGGCGGGGCCAATTTTGACCCCAAGGCTTTTATTTGAACAAACTTGGTAGACACCCATTAGAAGATGTTTCATGCTAAATATCTTAGCTCTAGCTCTTTGGGTTCTTTAAAAGAAGATTTTTTAAGTTTTTACTATATGCATATAGGGAAAATCAATGACCCCCTGGGGCGGGGCCAATTTTGACCCCAGGGCTTTTATTTGAACAAACTTGGTAGACACTCACTAGAAGATGTTTCATGCCAAATATCTAAGCTCTAGCTCTTTGGGTTTTTTAAAAGAAGATATTTAAAGTTTTTTCTTTTGGTTGCCATGGCAACCAGAGTTCTGCATGGAATTAAATTCTTTGAACAATTTTTAAAGGTGACCACCAAAGGAACATTCCTGTGAAGTTTGGATGAAATTGGCTTAGTGGTTTATGAGGAGATGTCATTTAAAGTAAAAGTTTACGGACGGACGGACGACGGACGGACGGACGCCGGACGAAAAGCGATCACAAAAGCTCACCCTGTCACTTTGTGACAGGTGAGCTAAAAATATACAAAAATATATATAATAAATAGAAAATTCAATTTGTTTCTATAAATACATGATTTATTATCATCTTATAATCATATTTTACTTGTGGCTATCGCCACTCATGAAATATTTATCAATGAAAATAAATCCTATATTTATGGAAAAAAAACTTGAATATCCTCTATCACAAACTAGTTAATTTATGCGTTTAGTTTATTCTTAATCAGTTCAATGAAAACAAACGCTTTTCTTAAGCTTTCGACGTTTTGTCTTCTTCAGAAAAAAAAATTGAGGTTTTTCTTTTTTTTCTTTTTAACCAAATAAATGAACTATAAGCAAATGTGTTGTTTTTTACTAAAAATGTGTTTATAAGTATGGTGTTGGAGCGTTTATAAAACATTTACTGGTGGATATTTTTGGTAAATGTTGACGATTATGTTACCTAAAACTACATTATGTAGCTAAATTTTTAATAATGCCCGGATAATAGCCTCAACCATTCTCCTCATACTACCAGTAAGGTGTCTAATGTGATTTTGAGGTAAAGTTTGCCATTCTTGGTGCAGAGCTTGTTCCAGTTGTTGCAGTTTGACTACAGGTGGTTCGTACCATTACTGGCATGCGAGCAGTTCCCATACAGAAGCAGTACCAGTATTTTTCATTCAAACACTTGAATTCTACTTGCATTCTTTAATATTCTTTGATATCAAGCAGATGTATGAACCAGACAAAATCTAAGTGTCAGTTCAGCAGTACGTATAAAAAGTTTTTATTTTAAATCACTTTCATCTGTGCCTTGTTAAAATGTAACCTTGTAAATGTTGGGGGATTCCGTCCCTGTGCGCATGCACAAAAATACTCACTAATGAGGCCTGTTAAAGAGATTTCCACTTATACCACCTGTGTACAGATAAGTGGGAAATGAAAACATGTTTAATTATCAGAATTTTGATCTACATTACTATATTAAATAATTTTATGGCTTTAATGAGTAAACTATAATGCACATAAGCACGCCATTGTATGTGAAGATGTTGAGTAACGGTACAAGGTAATAGATACTAGAGTTTAGTCTAAGCTCTATATCCTGAATGACACCTATTCACCTCTGAGAAAATGGTCTCTCAACAATTCTAAATGAAAATAGGTCTGATATAACAATATTGTATAATTATAGTGGGTTATATTTTATGTACTGGAACTACTTCTCTTCATACAAAATAATGGATAATTTCGGACCAGTATAAGGCCTCATAACAAAGGGACTAACAAAATGGAATTTCCATAATTCGTGTGACCAGCCAAATATTGATATTGATGTGTAACAATCATTTTTTGGTGAGTGAGCATAATAAAAAATGATGTTTAAGTAATTAAGATTTTGTACGGGAACTGCTTGCATGCTCAAATTTGGGGAAAATGCTGGCTGTGCTCAACTAATTTCAAGGTGTAAATATAATAAAATAATGTACTCTTTTCTATTTTTTCCCTTAATGTAAAATATTAAAGTTTACCTTTATTTCTTTATTTTTCATTTAGATCAATTTTTGTACATTAATAAATATTGACTTCTTAGAATTACAAGCATTCAATATTTTGTTTTTATTATATGATCTAAATATAGCTGCAATCTCATTGGTCCAAACAGTAGTCAACAGAACTTTTTATAAAATCATATTTACTGGGTGTAGTATCATATTTACTGGCTGAATTGGATTTTCCCAGACTAAAAATAGATTGAGACTCATATTCAATGATCATACACCGTAGACTGTTAATTACACGTGTTAATTAAAAAATAATTGTTCCTTTTTTTCTTTATGGCATATTTCTCGATTAAAATATCAATACTTTACTATTATACTTAAGGGTTACACCGCAATAATGAGTATAAACTTGAATTATTTTTGTATGCGCAGCGTTCGCGTAGTCGTTGCACGCCTAACACGTGCGTCTTTCTTCCCGCGCTTCAACGAGGCAAAATTTGTACATGTATAATTATAAGGTTGCACTTTTGTGATTTTTTTTAATTTCTTAGCCTATTCATATAATAAAACAATTATTGACTAGTGAACCATTGAATATGATGTGATATTCACCGGCAGAAAGTCATATTGACCTCGGCTATCGCCTCGGTCAATATGTCATCTGCCGGTGAATATCACATCATATTCAATGGCTCACTAGTCAATAATTGTATAATATTAATGACTATTGTTTCACTCCAAGGAGAGAGTTTCTAAAACAGCTTGTAACTTTCTACTCAATCTTTTTTGCATTTGATTGTAATCATATTGTGTATATATGTTTAACTGAAATAAAATATTGTTTAAAGTAAACAGCAATTAGTGTGTGAGTTAAAATTTTTATAAAGTCAAAATGTTAATGTAAATGTATATTTATAAGACCACATACTTTACCACAACTTAAGTTATGTGAAAATCTATAAAAGGGAAATATTTTGATTGATTGCACCACATCATTCATGTAAGAATAATTAAAATAAAATAGCCTTAAGCTTTATATTTAGATACAAACCAGTAAATAAAGATAGATATAATATCAACCACAGAACGGAATCCCCTATAAGGCAACATTAGTTATGTTATAATTTATTACCTTGGTGGGCTTAACTTCCTGCCAGCAAGTCTTTTCTCCTTGTAAATTCTCCTCTCCCGTCTTGACTTTCTACCCTAAAAATTACAATAATAAATATAGTCACAAACAAATAAAAACCTAATTTTCAATCAATTCTTAAAGAGAATAAAAAGCTTTATCTTAAGAAAAATCTTTTATAAAATTTATTAACAGTAATATTATTCAGCTATTTTAAAAAGGGTTTATGCGTTTAGCAATGATTCAACATGTGCCCTTACTTAAAAGTTAATTTACTGCCATACAAGAATTTTGGAAACATTCTTTTCAAAAAATCAAACATATTTATTTTTAAGTTAATATTCAAATTTTTTCTTAATTCATTGAACTCAAAACAGTCTCCTGTCATATAACAAAATCGAGCATTCAGATACTTTGACATTTCAGTACAGACAACCGGACATGAATTCAGTATTGTGTTATGTCACACAAGAACATACACAAAACTATAGTGAATTTCCTAATTTATTATAGAACAGCAGTTCTAAGACAAACACAAATCATATAAAGTATATCATAAATCAAATGAATAAACTTTCATGTAAAATAGTGACCTCCTTATTGAGCTTTAACACTTATCCTTAATCAAAGACCTCTTGCCTCTTCACAAAAAGAAACATAAATTCTAAAATTGAAGACTACAATTATCAATGAATCACAGATAAAACTAAATAAACTTAAATCAAGATTCCGATACAATGTTGCCCTAAACACCTATCAGTAACTTACAGCAAACTGTGCTTTTTCTTCCTCCAGAAGCTTAGCCTGTTTAAGTGCTTCTTGATCATCTTTATCACGTCTTAAATATCTGAAAACCACATGATTATATATAATCAATCGTCTTATAATACTTGTGCAGTATTGGTTAATAAATATTCAAAGGTTATATAATTCTTGTAAAGCACAGGTTCATCTTTTAAATGGTCTAATAATGCTTGTACAGCACACATTTATATGTAATCAATGGTCTTAATTAAACACTTGAACAGAATATGTTTATATATAATCAATAGTCGGTAATACTTGAACAGAACAGCTTTATAATCAATGGTCTTACATACTTTTACAGCACATATTTATATATAATCAATGGTCTTATATACTTTTACAGCACAGATTTATATATAATCAATAGTCTGATAATACTTGAACAGAACAGGTTTATAATCAATGGTCTTATATACTTTTACAGCACATATTTATATATAATCAATGGTCTTATATACTTTTACAGCACAGAGTTATATATAATCAATGGTCTTATATACTTTTACAGCACAGATTTATATATAATCAATGGTCTTATATACTTTTACAGCACAAATTTATATATAATCAATGGTCGTATATACTTTTTACAGCACATATTCATATATAATCAATGGTCTTATATAAATATTCAATGAAAGCCCTGAATTACACTGAGCTGTTTTACATAGATCAGTTTCAAGCTTACTTGATATAATCTTGTTTTCCCATACCATAAGCAGTACCACAAACATTAAACTGTTGAATCTGGTCCTCATTTAAAGTGTCTACATCTACTACAATATCTGCATAAACAAAAAAAAATACAAATAAATTTGAGTATCATTCTAAAGTCTCTAAAGAATTTATGAAAAGTAGTACTTTAGGTTACATAAAAACATGTAGCATATTGAAAATAACCAAACTGAATTTATTTTAACTTTGTTTGATCTACATATCAAGAAAATTTTAAGTAAGTTAGAAAGCTTCTAATACAAGTCAATTTCTGGGTGTTGTAGATTCTGAGAATAACTGAAGTTCAGTGAGTTTCCTGTACAAGTTGATATAACAACAAGAGCTGTTGGTACGACTATTCTAAGTGCTTGATAGTAAAACAAGAGCCTGGATAATGTAGAACTTTTCAACAAGAGCTGTCGGTAGGACAGCAACACTCTACTATTCTAAGTGCTTGATAGTTAAAGAGCCTTTATAATGTAAAATTTTCTAAGATGACAAAAGGGTCAAATTTTCCTTTAAATCCATGTTACTGTAATAGGCCTTGAAAAGAGTCCTATAATGCTCTTAAAGAAGATTATAAAATTTCAACTTGTTTCAAAGCCAGATGTCAATAGTATATGAAAATATCTGAGGTGGTAAGCAAACTTTAACGTAAATTCTAAGTCAGAAAAGGGTATAATTCTGTCAAAATGCTTGATAGAGTTACCTCCTCCTGTCTACAGGTTGGGGTCATGATGGTGAACAAGTGTGCAAAGTTTCAAAGCCATATGTCAATGTACTTTGAAAATATTTGAGGTATTACAAAAACTTTAACGTAAATTTTAAGTCGAAAAAGGGCATAATTCTGTCAAAATGCTTGATACAGTTATCTCCAATGGACTTTGAAAATATTTGAGGTATTACAAAAACTTTAACATAAGTTGTTACGCCGACGCCAACGCTCGGGTGACTACAATAGCTCTACTTATTCTTATTGAATAGTCGAGCTAAAAAGTATAATTCTGTCAAAATCCATTTTAGAGTTCACAGCCTTGGTCAGTAATCTCCCTGAGGCCATATAAAAGCACATTTTAAAGGTTATGTGTTAATGTAAAATAAAGTGATCCCTGGAGTCGGGAAATATGCTATAATGTTACCAAGATCAAGTGTTTCAATATCTTCTTCCTCTTCACTTTCACTATCTTCACTGTCATCTTCATTCTGTTTGTCTTCTGTACTATCATCATATGTGTAGCCTATAGCTGCCTTCTTATCACGTAATCTATAACAAAATCAAAACCATTAGTTTATAACGTTTAAAGATTTAACCCTTAACCAGCTACAGCTACAACTCGTTAGCCTTTATCACCAATATAGACCCAGATTAGCATGTACAACTATGGCTCTATAATTCAAATACTGATACAATACAAATACTGTAAAATCATTATTATTTGTAGGGCACGAATTTTCGTAGTTTTCGTGGATAGGTCAACCCACGAATTTAAGATCCAACAAAATTTTATCCAAACAAATACTTTTTGCCATGTCTCTATTCTATATATAACAAACGTGCATAGGCGCTTTTCCACCGATTTTTGTGTAATGAATGCCCAGAGGCAAGGATTAAATTTATTGACAAGCGCTGTGTGATACTTAAAGATACGTACACGCGGTAAGTAAAATGTGAGGCGATTGAGTTTAAGATTACTTTGCATATTGCATAAGGTTTTTTAATAATAATTTATTTTATTTTTTACAAGAAATAGAAAATCCACGAATTTAAGAACCCACGAAAATGCCCGTTTTGATAAAACCACGAAATTTCATGCCTACGAATATAGTGACTTTGCAGTATAATACACATACAATATTTTGCATTTTAAATCCCTTAAGTTTTCAATGAACTCTTCCAAATTTAAAGCTGGGCAAATCCATTATATGACTGCAGCAGGTTAAGAAATAAAATCCCACCAAACAATGAATATAAAACTGTTTTGACAATTATTTCTATATTTGACACACTATGTTTGTTCCTGGTAAAACTGTTACACTAATTTTCAACTGACATGAAAACATTTCTCATATTTGAGTTATTTGTGCTAATATATTAAGGTGTGTACTACTCAACACAGCCAGTATAAGTTGGAGCATTATTATAACTGTGTTCCCAAATATAACAGTGGTGCCAACTAGTCCAAGAAATGGTCTCCACATTATTTCAACTAGAACTCTGCAAGTCGGATGTGTCGCCTTGTAACCAGTATAGTTGTCACTTAGGCATTTTCTTCTTAAAAATAGGTTATTTTTTATTTTCTTCTTAAAAATAGGTTATTTATAAACACTGCTAAAGGGCAATAACTCAAAAAATAAGAAGTGCAGAGTACCAGTTCTTGTGCACTGCACTTCTTCTTAATGAGATCTATCATCCTATGAAGATTCAAGTCCATAGCTTTTATAGTTTAGGTGAAATGGCCGGGATAAAAATAAAGTAAGAAAATCAACAAAGGGCAATAACTCAAAAATCATGGAGTACCAGTTTTTGTGCACTGCACTTCATCTCAATGAGATCTATCATCCTATGAAGTTTCATGTCCAAAGCTTTTATAGTTTAGGAGAAATGGCCCAGACAAAAATAAAGTATGAAAATTAACAAAGGGCAATAACTCAAAAAATAAGAAGTGCAGAGTACCAGTTCTTGTGCACTGCACTTTTTCTTAATGAGATCTATCATCCTATGAAGTTTCAAGTAAATAGCTTTTATTGTTTAGGAGAAATGGCCCGGACAAAAATAAAGTATGAACATTAACAAAGGGCAATAACTCAAAATTTAGAAGTGCAGTGTACAAGTTCTTGTGCACTGCACTTTAGGTTATTGAAAGAAGCATGAATACCAAATTTGGAGTCAATTCAACTTATAGTGACTGAGTTATGCTTGGGACAAGCCTTAGGAGACGCCAACAACAACACCACTACAAAAGTAACCCCTATATATCGCCTTTTCAAGGCGACACAAAAATACTTGTTTAAGTACAGTAAACTCCGCTTATATCGAACTAATTGGGACATTCAAAATCTGTTCGTTATATCCGGAGTTTCTTGTAAGCATATAGCGAATTAGTTCCATGTATCAGGAGTTTTTATAGCGAACAGATTTACATATAACAAACTGATTGTTTACCATCGTCCTCCATTTTGAAGAGCATTTGATTAAGAAATATTAGTCATATATTCAATACCTGAGAGCATAATTTTTGGAATTTAAATAATTGCTATTCCAGTTTAAGATTTACTCCCAACAATTTCTCATAAAATATAATATTTTTTTTCTAAACTGTTATCGTTTTCTTTCTATGATTGAGAATAAACAAGATTTTGAATATCTTCTTTTATAATTTAAGGGTGACTTTAACTTATGGAAGATAAAGATTTCTTCTATTTAAATCAAGCGTACATTGCTGATTGCAAGCATGCATGATTATGTTGAAAACCGATTATAAATTATTATAATTATTTTACTCGAGCACAACTATTGACGAAAAGAAATAAATACCCGCTTTATCTTGGTGGAAAGAGCTCATGCTAAAAATATCCTTAATAGAAAACTATACAAATTCATTTTAATAGATGTATTGAAGTACATACAACGATAAACGGTACATTCGGCCGAGTTTTAATCCGTGCCAATGAAAACAAAAGTCTATTTACGGATAGCCAATATTTTGGAGTTCGTTATAAAAGTGTAATTTTCTGTACTTTTAACTACATTGGGACTAAGAAATGAGTTCTTTATAAGCGATAATTCCTTATAACCGTGTTCGCTATAACCATATTTTTTTATATTAGATAAAGAAGGGCAAAATTCGGGCCAAAATAAATTGTTCCCTATAACCGCAAGTTCACTATAACCATGTTCGCTATAAGTGAAGTTTACTGTAAATATGATTAAACTAAAGGGAATTGGAAGGATGGTGGTCCCTTCATTCCCACAGTTATGACGCCGTTAGTACTGAACTAAAATGTTTCACTATAAAAGCTATTTAATAATTTTTTGTTTTGAAACTTGACTGCAGGTTATACCAAACCATGCACTGGCAACAATATAATACACAAGACAAAAAGGATAGGAAGGAAGTATGACCATTTATGAAATTATTACATCAAGATTAGATTTGAACAATATGTACTTACTTATTCTTTTCTTCTTCTCCGTCTTTATTTATAGCACCAAATTGTTCATCTAAATATAACTGGTGTAGGGCTTGTTCTTCAGTCACTTGAAACATATAAATTGAAATCAGATAATATAAGGTGGTGATCATTGTTGCTTTTGGTTATATCATGGTTGGTAAGAAAAACTGTAAAATGACATGATTTTTTTAAAAGTAATATCAAGGTTTGTTTGGAAATCAGTGAAGTGACATGATTTTGATGCTATCAAGTCCTATCAAGGCTTATTTGAAAAGAAAGCAGAAAAGTGTCATGATATTGTTTCTACTGGTACAACCAATATTATTGTCCTTAGTGTGAACTTTATTAGAATAATGGGATTTAAATACTTAAATCAAATTCAAAATATTTCAATCAATGTGACTTAAGACATAATTTCATTAAAATTCATATCAATACAGCATTTAAGTATTTCAATGGGTACATGCCTTTGTTAACATTAGTGGCCCTTTCAAATATTTCGAACATACATTATATTCAAAGACAATTTTTTTTTTACTTTTTCTCAGTAAAATACCAGTCATTTAACAGCCTAGCAAGATTTGGGTAGGTGGATTGGAAGGGGGAAATTATATTTTATTTCAATTAAATGATCTATTTAAAAAAATTATTTAAAAAAATCAATATGAAGAGTTCTAGAAAGATAAGATTTTAGATGTCATAAAAGACACAACAACAAAATGTTCCCACTAAAGAAACTACTACCTGCCCTTTGTCAGTAGGATATTCTAAAGTTTCATGTTGATATCAAACAATAAATCAATATTAAAAATTATAAGTAGCAAAAACACCAAATACACCCATAAACACTTTTCATATGAACTAGGTAAATAACCTAGGTATATCGAATTGTTTCCCTTATCTTCGAGTAAAATTGGTATCTCATACGCTAAAACAATACAAATTAAGCCATTTTTAAACCGCTAATTTGTTCTGATTAAATGTCCGATTTTAAAAATTGTTACATCAATGGAAAGCTTGGGATCTTAGCTTTGTCACAGTATATAATTTTACATATCTTTTGACACCAAAATATTTAAATTAACTGTTAAACCTACCATATGTCAGCCCACTTTACATACGATTTATATAGTGAGATACGCAACCGGTTATCTTTACTCGAAAACCTACTGATAAGAAAAGCCTGCTAGTTGAGAAAAGTGTTTATCGGTGTATTGTAAAAATGTCTTTGACATTGTTCTTCTCTCAAATAAGTTTTATATACCAAAGAAATAGATTTGTCTATGGCCGAGTGGTTAAGGTCATTGACTTCAAACCACTTGCCCCTCAGCTACTTGTAAAATTAGGTGGCCTAAATCAAGTGGTCTTGGACCAACAGACAACTGCAGATATCAAGGCTTGCAGACAAATTCCAATAGCCAGACGGATGGACTGTTTGCATTATACCTCACTTTCAACTTTGTTGTACCAAGATATAAATATTTTAAAATCTAGAGATAAATGAAAAGAATGGAAAGTGACTAGATGCTCTGTAACTCTAATTTTTACGTTTTCTGGACAATAAGTAAAGACAAAAGAAAATTGTACATACATCCAGCACATTCATTTTCTACAAGTATCCTGTAACGCTCATAGTTAGCTCGCCTTTCTTCATCTTCCTCCTCTTTACTCAACCTGTTAATATAAACAAGACACACTGTATATTTTATGTTGTTAATGCCCGTAATAGATTTTATTCTGTAAATTCACTCAAAGAACTTTTTAATACAATTCCATCAAAACACATAACTGATTATTTGAAAGAGATAAACTTGTATTCTAGGATCTAATTGGTTCATTTCTATTGTCATTAACAAAGTTTTACATAACATTTTAAGCCTTTCATAGCATTCAGCAGGGATACATGTATGGCCAGTTATTTGTTGACGTGCCGTAAAAATCCAAACAAACAAAAATTATGTTGTTACAGTACTAATAACCAAATTGAAAAAGTGTTTATATAACAGTTAATCATTTGAAAGTTAAGAATTTCAAACAAGAGGGCCATGATGGCCCTGAAACCACTCGCTTTTATATAGGTCCTCGGGTGAGTCAATTTAACCCAGGGGCTTTTATTTGAACAAACTTAGTAGACACCCACAAGAAGATATTTCATGATAAATATCTAAGCTCTAAGTTCTTTGGGGATTTAAAAAGAAGATTTTTAAGTTTTTACTATATACATATAGGGAAAAACAATGACCCCAGCCGCCTGGGGGGTTAATTTTAAACCCAGGGTTTTTATTTGATCAAACTTAGTAGACTCTCACTAAAAGATATATCTTATGATTAGTATCTTAGCTCTAGCTCTTTGGGTTTTTCTAAAAGAAGATTTTTTAAGGTTTTACTATACACATACATGTATAAGGAAAATCAATGACACCAGGGTGGAGCCAATTTAAACCCCAGAGCCCTTATTTGAACACACTTGGAAGACACCAACTAAAAGATGTTTCATGCTAAATATCATAGCTCTAGCTCTTAGGTTTTTTTTAAAAGAAGATATTTTAAAAAATTTGCTATATACATAATGGGATAAACAATGACTACCTGGGACGGGGCAAATTTTGACCCCTAAACTTGGTAGACATCCATTAGAAGATGTTTCATGCTTATTATCAAATCTCTACTTATTTGGGTTTCTTAAGAGAAGATTTTTTAAGTTTTTACTATTAAAAAATAAAGACAATCATTGACCTCCCATGGCAGGCCAATTTTAACCCAAGTGCTTTTATCTGAACAATCTTGGTAGACATTAACTAGACAATGTTCCATGCCAAATTTTCAAGCGCTAGCTCTTCTGTTTATTTTTAGAACAATTTTCTAAGTTGACTACCAAAAGAACATTCCTGTGAAGTTTGGATGAAATTGGCTTAGTGGTTTATGAGGAGATGTCGTTTAAAGTAAAAGTTTACGGACCGACAGAAGACAGACGGACCCTGGAGGAAAAGCAATCACAAAAAAATACTTGTTTTGGTAAACTGTGTTGGTTTGTGAATCTTTTTATCAAACAATATTAGTATTTACTTCTTTGGGATTTTTTTTTCTGCTATATCTACAGAGGGCAGACTGAAGCATTTCAATTTTTAAGTGTCTGTACTTTATGTCATGTGTTGAATCATTTATGTCTTTTTTACATTAAATACATCATGACTTTTCTTATGCAAACAAGTCAGACTATCTGGAACTTTCTAATCTTATCAAACAAACAAATATTGATAAAATAAGTGATAAAGTAACTATATGTCATCTAATTTAAGTATGTTGTCCTTATAAGCACACCAAAGCAATATTGCAACTGTCCTCTACTGTAATGTTTATAAGAATGGTAAGTAACTTACTCTACTTTATAAGAGTTTTCTGCGGGGAGTATATCAAGATGAGCACGTACATCAAACCTGTCAATCATGTTACTTTTATCTCCTTGCCATGGCATCCTAAAATATATAAATATAAATAACCCTATCCTCAACATGAATATATTCCAAGGAGGGCATTATAACTGATATTTGAAGCATTTTTTTGAAAACAGTTTCTGGCATCAATAATATTTAAATATTTTTGATGTTATCAATATCTGACAGTTTTGATCAAATTTGCTACATGTGTTTTCAAAATTGTATGTTTTTCCACTTAAACAAACAAAATTTGAACATGTTTGCTATTACCAATATCTGAATGTTTCTCCACATTTTTTTGCCATTGTCAATTATAGTTAAAAGTTTTTTGTCTTTATCAATTGAGTATTTGTTCATAAAAACATTTCAGTGTTAACTATTATTGAGTTTTGCATGTCCAGTCTCATGTATACTTACATGCTTTGTGGGCTTTCAGCGGCAAGAGCTATTGCTGGGTCTAAGTTGACCTTGCATTGCTGACCAAATACACGCACAAACAAAGCAGGATCTGCCCTCTGAAAAATTAAAACATTGTATATACATGTATTTTTTATGTAGTTGATTTATTGTCAATACTCGAGGCAAATATAAACTTTATGTTAAAACAATGTTGAACAGGTAGATTAATGTCAAGAATTATTGTAACAAATATACTATGTGTATGATCCCATAGATTTACTGGGAACATTACTGTCACAAATTCACTGTGTGTATGATCCCATAGATTTATTGGGAACATTACTGTCACAAATACACTGTGTGTATGATCCCATAGATTTACTGGGAACATTATTGTCACAAATACACTATGTGTATGATCCCATAGATTTACTGGGAACATTACTGTCACAAATACACTGTGTGTATGATCCCATAGATTTCCTGGGAACATTATTGTCACAAATACACTATGTGTATGATCCCATAGATTTACTGGGAACATTACTGTCACAAATTCACTGTGCGTATGATCCTATACATTTTATGGGGAACATTTCTGTCACAAATTCACTGTGTGTATGATCCCATAGATTTACTGGAAACATTACTGTCACAAATACACTGTGTGTATGATACCATAGATTTATTGGGAACATTATTGTCACAAATACACTGCGTGTATGATCCCATAGATTTATCAGGAACATTATTGTCACAAATACACTGCGTGTATGATACCATAGATTTATCAGGAACATTATTGTCACAAATACACTGCGTGTATGATACCATAGATTTATCAGGAACATTATTGTCACAAATACACTGCGTGTATGATACCATAGATTTATTTGGAACATTATTGTCACAAATACACTGCGTGTATGATCCCATAGATTTACTGGGAACATTATTGTCACAAATACACTATGCGTATGATCCCATAGATTTACTTGGAACATTACTGTCACAAATTCATTGTGTGTATGATCCCATAGATTTATTGGGAACATTACTGTCACAAATACACTGCCTGCATGATCCCATAGATTTACTGGGAACATTATTGTCACAAATACACTATGCGTATGATCCCATAGATTTACTAGGAACATTACTGTCACAAATTCACTGTGTGTATGATCCCATAGATTTATTGGAAACATTATTATCAAAAAATACACCATATGTATGATCCAAAAGATTTACTGGGAACATTTCTGTCACAAATTCACTGTGTTTATGATCCCATAGATTTACTGGGAACATTACTGTCACAAATTCACTGTGTGTATGATCCCATAGATTTATTGGAAACATTATTGTCAAAAAATACACCATGTGTATGATCCAAAAGATTTACTGGGAACATTTCTGTCACAAATTCACTGTGTGTATGATCCCATAGATTTACTGGGAACATTACTGTCACAAATTCACTGTGTGTATGATCCCATAGATTTACTGGGAACATTACTGTCACAAATTCACTGTGTGTATGATCCCATAGATTTATTGGGAACATTACTGTCACAAATACACTGTGTGTATGATCCAAAAGATTTACTGGGAACATTTCTGTCACAAATTCACTGTGTGTATGATCCCATAGATTTACTGGGAACATTATTGTCACAAATACACTATGTGTATGATCCCATAGATTTACTGGGAACATTACTGTCACAAATTCACTGTGTGTATGATCCCATAGATTTATTGGAAACATTATTGTCAAAAAATACACCATGTGTATGATCCAAAAGATTTACTGGGAACATTTCTGTAACAAATTCACTGTGTGTATGATCCCATAGATTTACTGGGAACATTACTGTCACAAATTCACTGTGTGTATGATCCCATAGATTTATTGGAAACATTATTGTCACAAATACATCATGTGTATGATCCAAAAGATTTACTGGGAACATTTCTGTCACAAATTCACTGTGTGTATGATCCCATAGATTTACTGGGAACATTACTGTCACAAATTCACTGTGTGTATGATCCCATAGATTTACTTGGAACATTACTGTCACAAATTCATTGTGTGTATGATCCCATAGATTTATTGGGAACATTACTGTCACAAATACACTGTGTGTATGATCCAAAAGATTTACTGGGAACATTACTGTCACAAATTCACTGTGTGTATGATCCCATAGATTTACTGGGAACATTACTGTCACAAATTCACTGTGTGTATGATCCCATAGATTTACTGGGAACATTACTGTCACAAATTCACTGTGTGTATGATCCCATAGATTTACTGGGAACATTACTGTCACAAATTCACTGTGCGTATGATCCCATACATTTATTGGAAACATTTCTGTCACAAATACACTGTGTGTATGATCCCATAGATTTATTGGGAACATTATTGTAACAAATATACTGCATGTATGATCCCATAGATTTATTTGGAACATTATTGTAACAAATACACTATGTGTATGATCCCATAGATTTATTGGGAACATTATTGTCACAAATATACTGTGTGTATGATCCCATAGATTTATTTGGAACATTATTGTAACAAATACACTATGTGTATGATCCCATAGATTTATTGGGAACATTATTGTCACAAATATACTGTGTGGTCAACATTTATGTCACATGTACACTGTACTGCACAGAGATACAAAAACATACACTATGGTATTAACAACAAACTGACTTTGAAAATAATTAAAATCAATAAGTGTTACAAGTTGGTAAAAATACACCCAAAAATGCAGTATGTCCTTACTAAAGAATTTCAACATACTTTTTTTCTGGTGATAAGAAACATGTAAACGGTGTTTTATGGAAAGAACTTGTTTTTACTGATAAAGAAGGACAAATCATTCTTATATTTTAAGTTGTAAATCTTCCTACTCAACAAGTGCAATTAATTACTTAAATTTAGCATGCCAAAGAAACATTTATAAATAAAATTACTGTTTGAAATAAATTCAAAGAAAGATTTTATGGGAAGTCTAACAGTAACAAACTTGTGTTGATGAATTAAATCATAACTTAACTTTTTACCACTTTACTTAACCAGACCTGTATTCATCAAAAAGGTTAGAGGCAAAATTATTTAAATTACATAAGAAGTAATGACTTCATAAAATCTCCATTTAAAATATTCAAAAAAATTAAGGAAATTAAATTGAACAGTACAATGTATTACATTGTATGTGAACTACAGCACCACAACTTAATGTCAGACAATAAAGAACACCAGAAAAGAGACAGAAACACCACGACTGAAAGTCAGACAACACTACACCTGAATGTGGGACAAAAGACAACACAAGAACTTAAAATAGGACAATAGACAACACAAACAACTTAACATAGGACAATAGACAACACTAACCTCGATCATGAGACAAAAGACAACACCATAACTGAACATAGGACAATAGACAACATCACAACTAAACATAAGACAACACCACAACTAAGGCTCCCACATTTACAATTTTTTGTAAACGTTTACACATTTGCTTTAAACTGAACCAATCTCGTTTAAATGGTGGTCCTTTATTACTATACATGCACTATACCCGGTATTCAAGTTGCTAAATGATTACTTTCTATTTTAATAAATGTACAAATAAATAACGTTCAGGGCTCATCGCCAGGGAGTCTGCACAAATTTTTCTGCCCATGAATCTCTAAACCCTGAGCTTTAACAAAAGAGCACTTTCAAGGGTAACTGGTTTTTAGCTCAATTATACAAAGTATATGGAGAACTGTCCTACTCACCCTGGCGTCCATGTCATTTTATGTGACAAGGTTCATAACTCTAGCACCAATATTTTCAGATTTATCTCCCCTTGAACTTAGAATTTTCCTTAAAAAATACTATTTTTTACTGTAATTTCTTTATTTCTAAAGGGATCAACTTCATACTTCTAAATATGTACCTTATTATCATCCACATCTTATGTGACAAGGTTCATAACTCTAGCACCAATATTTTCAGATTTATCTCCCCTTGAACTTAGATTTTTTTTCTAGAAAATTTTTATTTTTTACTATAACTTTTTTTGGTTTTAAAGGTATCTACCTCAAACTTCAAATACTTATTCCTTATCATCAATTACATTTTATGTGACAATGTTCATTTAGATTTATCTCTCTTTAAACTTAGGATTTTCTTTAAGAAATATTTTAACTACTTTACTTTTTAAGGTATCTACTTCAAACTTCAAATATATATTTCTTATCATTACACATATGTTGTGTGACATGTTTCATAACTCTAACGTGACTATTTCTAGAATTATTCCCTTGATCTTGGAATTTATGTTAACAAATGTTATTTTTTTACTATAACTTAATACATTATTATACATAATTGATTTTTCTTTCATAGTTTTGTCCTCCTTACTGCGTCCAATATTTCTGTGATAGCTCTTGTTCTTATAAATGTAAAATGACCCATTTGGCAAATGGGATTTTGAAATTTAACATAAACAAACTCTGTAATAGTCTACTACACCAGGCTACATATAAAATTTCCAACCTTGAGGAGAAAACAATTTTTGTTTAAGGATTTTTCTATATGACTTTATATAAAATCAAGTGACACCCTGACAGGGTGAAATTTGGCAAATTTTCACTTGAAGGTCAAATTTCAATAAACTTGCCAGAGGTACACTAGTCAATGCTACTAATAAGTTGCGACATGGCCGAGTGGTTAACGCGTCGGACTAGTAATCTTATGATCGCTAGACGCATGGGTTCAAACCCCGTCAGGAAACTTTACACTCAATGCTCAGTACTGGTTGGTTCCAGGAACGGATTCGAAAGTGTGTCTATAAGCTTATAGCTTCCTACACAATCAAACTGAAATAAGTTCTGTATAAACCAATGCTACTAATAAAATGTATAAGCTTTTGGGGAAGAAGATTTTTCAATGTTTTCCTCAATCAATGTAAAAATCAAGTCACCACCCAAGGGCAGAGTCCAGGGTTCTCGGGGACGCTTATTTCGGCGTCCCGGTACGCATGTTTATTACAGCTGGACGCAAATAATTCAGAGCAAGGATTCCACGTACGCTTAATTTTGCCTGGGGACGCATAAACATTACCGATTGTTTACAACCACAAAAACACAAATGCGTCAGCGCGTGTCAGTCTATAGGTAGGCGGTCCTATGCACATCGACCCGTGAAGCGATTAGCCAATCAGCGATAACGCTTCCGATCATTATCACGCAATAGTGATCAGACTAATGTATACACGCGCTGTATAGTACATGTAATTACCAGATATAACACGAGGTGATAATTTTATATCTTTGATCAACAGTTGATTGGAAATTAGCAAATTTTTACCGACAAAAGGATAAAATTATCGACTATTTACGCCGCAAGTTTAGAATGTTTTCTCAAATTGCAAATGAGTGTAATTTTGAATGATTGTCGAATATTTTCGGCATTTTCTACGCACAATTTTGCTTTAGTTTCATTCTTGCAAAAACTTTTTATAAGAGTATTAAGAATTTAAGATATTGTGCCGAAATGCCAGGACAACAAACCAAAATACACATACGCTTTTCTTTGATATTTAGATTCTATCCGAAAATTGGTCCCGAACATCGGCGATTTCACGTTCGCCAGAAACCCTAAAATTTCGCAAAAATTCTCGGTTTCCAAGCCAAACATGCGAATGAATTGTTCCTTTAATATTTAATCAACATTAAATCTTTAAATATCGATCTTCAATTTGCCCCCTTTTGGAGATATTTGCTAAAATAATTGTCGATCGGATGAATCTCTTACACACTGTGTGAAGCTGTACACGATTTTCCTATTCATTCCGCTAAACGCTGCCTATATACAATTTTTTTTCTTTACAAATATAAACTTTTTGTCTTTAGAGTGGACTTATTTAACCAGAATAAAATTTAATTTGGTATAAAAGTGGAAAAAAAACCGATTTCCATGTGTTGATGCATTACAATAAGATAATTTCATAATAAATATTAACAACAAAACAATAATTATACTATGTAGTTCAGAGTTTCTTTTGAATAACTATAAACTTTGGAAGTCTTTTGAAGATTCAAAATATCAGCAATGCTATTGTGAGCATTGAATGACTAATCTATAAACATATTAATTGCGACACACTTTTGGACTCCAACTTTTTCAGGGTTGGGAGTCCATGGACTCCATGTTTTAAAGTCCTAGTGAGAACCCTGGAGTCAATTTTAACTTCTGGGTCATAAGGAACATGTGCATGTACACTAGTTCATGCTAATTGCCAAATATCTAAGCAGTAAGCTCTACTCTTTTGAGAAGGAATTTTTTTAAATTTGATCATATTGTTTCAAGAAAGAAAACTTACTATTTTTTCATAGAACTCTCTACGTCTTTCTGCTCTCCTCTTATAATCCACCATTAATCCTCTAATCTTCTTTTCCTGCCTTCGTGCCTCATGCCACATTTTGAATTATTTATGTTCTTTATAATATTAGATGGTTAACCAGTCTGAAAGAAATTAAAATATACATATATATATTTATCACATAAACTGCGGCGCAGGAGTGTAATAAAGCCATGTAATAAAAACGATATTACACTAGTGTAATATCACTTTGACGTGACGTCATTTGCGCTATATAGAAACATAGCGTTAAAGCGCACTAATGTTAGCGTTACACTTAAGGCGCGTCATTTAACAATTACTCATTTTAACAGTTTACTGTTCTTATTTTATATATGTGATAAAAAACTACACTCATTCAATATCCTCTATATAAAGAATACAAGTATATCAATATGAATTAAATAATAAGTTTTCTTAGTCGTATACTTAACATATTGGTGAAAATACAATAAGAAAGTGAAAGTTAAACTCCTGGTAGGAGCATAGTCCAGTAGTCCCTTGAGACTGTTTATACCAAATACCTTGGAATTATGGGTAACACAGAATATGAGGCAAGGGTATACCGTTTAAACATGATTAACAGACAGTTCACCCCTCAGACACTTCATCATAAGCCATTTTTGCAGACACTTCATCCCTCAGACATTTCATCCCTCTTTTTATGAAATTTGATTGAGACACTTCATCCCTTATTTTTTTACACAAATGAAGGTGAAAATTTTAAATGTAATCAATGATTAAAAATATTCATCGTTTTAACATATAATATATTTATAATTATACATTGTATGATTGCATTATAAATGTAGACCTGATAAAATAGAGAAATTGATTTTTTTTCCTAAAAAAAAGGCTCATATCACAATGATATTTCTGAAATAAACATATGAAGAAAATGTATATGATCATTATTACTTTTATGAATATTATTTTTATGAAATCAAAGTATGACTGCATAGAATAAGTTTACAATATCAATCCTTTGAACTCACTTCACTTAGTGTTACTGTATGAACCATTGTATCAATTTATCTTACACACATGAAAATACTTTAATCACTTTCACAATTGCTTTCTTTGATAGTTTAGACTGAAAGTCAAATTTTGAAAAAATCAATATTTCTTTGCAATAGACCCATTGCACAATGACATCACAAGCACCTGCTACCAGAATTTAGCAGATTTACCGGTTGGCAAGAAGAACCAATATTTATAAACAATATATAGCAGCAGAATTTTTAAATATAACTTTTTTATTTGTGGATCGATTTTTTATATTCTTATATCATTTGAAAGTTCTTTATATTCATATTTTTAAAATATTAGCGGATTTTCATTTTTTGCTTTTAAAAAATAAAGCTCAGCTATTTTTCAACTGTTATTTCAATAGTTTTCTAGCACCAAGTTTAACTCCTTACCAAGAAAAAATGAAAACGCTTTGTTAATTTATTTTTTAATATATAAAATATGAGTAAAATGACCTTTCTAATGATATAAAATACTAAGCTGTTTCATGAAAAATAAGTTTTTTATTATAAATATAAAATTACTATATTTTGCATTTTATCAGCCACCATATTTTTTGCCAACCATCCAAAAGTTACCTGTATCTCTTATCAGCAATTTGTTACTATTAATAGATTTCATAACAATAACATGCAAAGGGCCTATAATAAAGCTATTTATTAGTTTTTATTTGTTTGGGTCGTCAGACCAAACAAATAATGATAGCGAAATTTCAGTCTCTAATGCTGTTAATTGCAAATGCCGAAAGTAGTCCGCTTTTTTGAAGCGGTTACTTCCCTTTATATGTAACACTAAGGCTGAAAAATTCAGGGGAGATCACTTCGTAAATATGGTCACATGACAGGCGCATTAATTTTCAAGCATAATAATTCCTGAATGGTCGAATATTTCTAATATTGTTTTATTCTTTATAGATATACATGCTTATAGTAAGCGCCATGATTATTTACACAAGTGTTAAACAACAGTTCTCCAGGCCGTTATCATATACATGCACCGTGGCCGCGCTTAGGAAGCCAGAGGTCTGGAGTTCAAATCCCAGTTAAGATAAAAAAAATTTTAATTGTTTAAGTCAAATAAACATTGGATTGAATATCAGTGTTGCAATTAGTCTTATAGCTTAGTCTTATACTACATTTAAAACGCTGGAAAGCATTGGTGGCACTATACAAAAACAAATTGTTTTATGATCTCACAACCTTCACCTTTCTGATATTCTGAGACCCAAACAAATTCAGCGCCTTCTGTGCTTTGATTTTCTTCTTCAATTGTCTTTCATGTTTTATGCTACAGTTGGAATACATTTTAAAGTCTCATTTTGTATGTTAACTGTAAATTGCTTTTCAAAGTTTCAACTATTCAAGTTATGTTTAAATATAGATCATTAGATGCAAGTTATGTTTCAATCTTTTAATGTATTAAAAGTTGCATTTTGTGAAATATTTTATCAAATTATTAATACCACTAAATATAAAGAACATATTTACTCTAACTGCTTATTTCATAGCTGATAGTGCATAATTGTTTGAAGATGCCATCCTAGACAGTGATTCTTTGCATTCAATTAATCACTGCAAAATTTTAGTCATGCATTTTTCCTATAAATTGTTAACAATACACCGCTGAAATTCCCGATTTCATGGGTATGGGTAATCTTCCCAAAATCCTTGAGAGAAAAAAAACCTGTCTTAAAAAATTATAGGTAGAGCGGCGAAGTGTCTGATTTTTTTGGTGCTTGAAGTCAGTGTCTTGAGCACAGCTGTTCAGCATATTGATTGGTCACTCACCCCCAGGGATTTTTTATGGCTTATTTTATAACCGTTATTGGGTCATATTCCCAATTGAAAATAGTATATTATTTTTTTAATCCACAGGAAATAATTTACCATTAAAAGTTACAAAATAAAAATAATGGAAGATAGTTAGAGATTATAGGAGTGGGCCTAGTTTGCCTGTGCCGGGATAATTTGTATAGGGCCGAGTTGATTTTGGGCCGAGCTGACACTGATAAATTTCCCCTACGAGTGCAACTACAAATGTAGATAACAGCCATAAACCTTGGTCACCTATGAAACTTCACCTCTATGAACATCATATGTTCTTTGAACAAATGCGTATGAACTCCTTTTATTCCGTTCGAACAAAAATTAAGAAAAAACATGTAAAACTAAAGTTGGTAATTCGCTAATCTTGAAACGGTGTCATAAAGTATGTACCGTGTGATAATTACACTTTCATGTGTAACACCACTAAATATATAGCAAGGTGAAGTTAATTATGTTCATAAGCACGGATTTATATTACAATAATATAAATCCGTGTCATAACTAAGTGTAAACATGAACACTAGTTCTGATGATTTCAGTGGCATTTAATTAACTGCTAAAAGTTAGAAGAAATACGTTGAATATTGTAAGAAACATCATAGTTTATTCAATTAAATGTTTGCATGTAAGCAATTATTTACATAACATGTCAATTAACAGCCATCTGTTGCATAGTGAGAAAAGTTGTGTTCTCATATTTCCTAGGCAATGACATTTTAACAGTTTCAAAAGCAAAACCAATAGTAATCTTTATTTTTAGTGTATATATTCCTACTGCAGTAGCCCCGTCTGAAAGTGGGGATTTTCTCTATGGCATTTATCAAATATCTCAATGGTAGTTTAACAAAAAGGTATGAAAACTAAAGGTAAAAAAAAAATGGTGAAATAATTTACTTTGCTCTTAATCTGAAAACCTTGGAATTATGGGTAACGG